ACGAATGAATGAATAAAAATGAATTGGTTTTTTACATACTAACAATAAACACATGGACACCAAAATTAAAAATCCAATACCATTTATAACCAAAACAAAACCAAAAACCTATGTCTAAATCTAAGAACATGTACAAAGTCTATTTAATGTCAATGAAAAAAGTCAAAGATACAAATAAATGGAGAGATGCACCATGTTCATTTACTGGAAAACTAAACAGAAAAGATGTCATTTCTCCCCAAATAAATACACAAGTTTAATGGAACTCCTATCAAGATACTTGCAAGACATTCTGTAAATAAAGATTATTCTAAAATTTATGTGAAAAGACAAAAAAAATGAGAATAAGTAAAACAATTTTAGGGGAAAAAAAGTAGGAATCAGTCTGATTTCCAGACTTATTATAAAGCTACAGTAATCAAGGTTGTGTGGTATTTGGTAGAGGGAAAGCCACATAGATTAATGGGAACAGAACAGAGGAGGGTCTGGAGATGGACCCTCACAAAAATGCCTGACTGATTTCTGACAAACATATTCAACAGAGGAAAGACAGCCTTTTCAACAAAGGGTGCTGGAGTAAATGGATACCCAGAGGCAAAAAATGAACCTCAATATAAGTTTCACACCTTACATAAAAATTAATTCAAAATGGATCACAGACTTAAATGTAAAACGTAAAACTATAAAACTTTTAGGAAAAAAAGAAGACAAAATCTTCAGAATAAGGGGTGGGCAGAGTTCTTAGAAATGACACCAAAAACATGTTCCACAAACAAAACAAAACAAAACCAAAAAAACAGATAAACTGGACTTCATCAAAGTTAAAAACAAGGGCGCCTGGGTGGCTCAGTTGGTTAAGCGACTGCCTTCAGCTCAGGTCATGATCCTGGAGTCCCAGGATCGAGTCCCGCATCGGGCTCCCTGCTCAGCAGGGAGTCTGCTTCTCCCTCTGACCCTCTTCCCTCTCGTGCTCTCTCTCTCTCTCTATCTCATTCTCTCTCTCAAATAAATAAATAAAACCTTTAAAAAAAAAAAACAAAGTTAAAAACAAAACAAAACAAAAACAAACAGAAAGGTCTTAGAAATTAAAAAGCCTGACAAATAAAAAATTCAACAGGGTGGTTGGAATGTAAAGCTGAGGAAATCTGCTGGAATGTAGAGGGGGGAAAAACACCCAAAGATATGAAAAATCAAGGGGAGAAAACACGAAAAATTAGAAAATCAATTCAGGAGAACCAACATCCAAAATAACAGCAATTTCACACAAAAGGAAGAGAGAAAAGGAAATCACCAAATAAGACAAGCTAAAATTCCTCATAACGCAAGGATAGGAGTCTCTAGATTACATGGGAACATCATTTATTAATAAATAATAAATGCACACAGCAAGGTGTATCATCAAGATATTTCAGAACACTGTAAACAAAGGGGAAACTGATAAATTTCTAGGGAGAAAATAATGGGTCACACCCAAAGGGCTGATATTAGAATGACTTCGGACTTCCTATCCACAACAATGAAAGCTAAAATACGGTATAGTAATGCTTTCAAATATCTGAATGAAACTAATTTCTGAGCCAGAATTTTATACACAAGGTTTCACATGTGTGAATGTAAAATAAAGACACTTCCAGTCCTGCAAGGTCTCAAAAATCTACCTACCATGCATAAGGAAGCTACCACAGGATAAGCTCCACCAAAATGAGGAAGTAAAACAAAAAACAAGTCAGGAAATCTAACAAAAAAGCGAGGCAAAGGGAATGACTAAAAAGTTCCAAGATAAAACTATAAATTAGACCTAGAGAGCAGCCAAACCAGATTTCACTGAGTAAAAAAAAAGTATTTTAAAAGAATGATTTCTACAGCCTAGGGAGAGTTTGGGGTTAAACTGCTGAAAAGTACACAGAAAAGACAGACCAAAAAATGGAAAAAGATTATTAATTCCAGTGAAAACAGTTATACAGAAAAGGAATAGTAATCCTAGTCCACCAGAAGATTCTGCAAGAACAGTGTTTTCGTACATGTAAAAACTAATCCCACTGTAACTAACATATTGCCAGAAACTTACTGCTGTTGCAGCAGAACAGGAAATGAGCATGATTGCAGGTATTTGGGGAGAAGGGCGTGCAGGGGATGAAAGAGAGCTAAATTTTTACTTTCCATACTATATAATGCCTAAAATGGAGAAAAAAATCAAGAACTAGCAATATCAGCATGATATTTTGAAACACAGCAAATGAATCAACAAAAAGTGGTTGTCTCTGGGACCTTGCAGTGACAGAGGAGGGCCCCTCAGGGAACTGCGTCAAGTTTCTGGAAACAAGCTTCGTTCACTTATGTGAGTATTTAAGTTCTGAAAAAATATAAACTCAAAACAGAACACAAACTTTCACAGCTAATTCATAGCTGGGCCAGAACTTGAACTCATGTAACTGAGTTCCCAATCAGGTGTGTTAATTTGTGAGCTCATAAGGGGCCTGTGTCTTCCTAGTTCCACACCCGCCTAGCACAGAGCCAGCCCTCAAACATGTTTCTGAATGAGTGGGAAAAAGTTAAAGAATGGGATTACTTTCATAACGCCAGAAAATGAGTGAGAAGGGCATTCCAGGCAGAGGAAACAGGAGAAGCAAAGACAGGAAACGGAGTGTGAGAGCTAGGCAAGGCAGGAACAAGGGGAGGAGGGGGCAAAGAGAAGTGGCCAGAAAATCCAGTGGCTTCTGGTGGGAGATGCACTGAGCTGGTTGTCCGGAGCCCTGTGGCGGGGGAGTGGGCACACACTGGTGCCTTGTGGACAGATCCAGGTGGCCCTGGGTATTTGAGCCTTGGGGTTTTTTGTCTGTTTTGCAATGATGACAGCAACACTTATTTCTCCCAGCAAATGGTTCCTTCTCAAATGGTTTCAGCTTTTTGAAATCTATAGTACCAGGCTCTCTAAAATCCTGAGGTCTTTTTCAGTTAACCCAACTACAGTACAACTAGTTACTCTAAGTAGCCCCTGCAAGGGCAACTCCACAGGGGTGGACAGGGCAAGCAAAGCCTCGTGGAATCCCTACAATGCCACCTTCACCCATTTTGGGGCCTCTTTTTGTTCTTTACAAAAGCATGAAAATCCAGGGTATAAAGGAATCATTACCTCTAGGTGAATATTTGCATCAGATATTACCATTATTCATACATTCACTTCATCCTAAGTCTATAAAGTATAGTTGACACTTGAACAACATGAGTTTGAACTGCGTGAATCCAGAGCATATTTTTTTCCTTAAATACAGTACAGTACTGTAAATGCTTTTTCCTTATGATTTTTTCTTTCTTTCTTTCTTTCTTTTTTTTTTTAAGTAGGCTCCACACAGGGCTTGAACTCACAACCCTGAGATCAAGACCTGAGCTGAGATTAAGAGTCAGACGCTTAACCCACTAAGCCACCCAGGCACCCCTCCTCATGATTTTCTTAATATTTTCTTTCCTCTAGCTTCCTTTATTTCAAGAATATAGTATATAATACATACAACATACAAAATATGCATTGACTGTTTATGTTATCAGTAAGACTTGCAGTTAATGGCAGGCTACTAGTCAAGTTTTGGGGACATTGAAAGTAATATGAGGATTTTCAACTGTTCAGGGGTTAACACCCCAACCTCTGTGTTGTTCAAGGATCAACTGTATTTACTTCATGTTAAGCAGTCTGCTGGAATATAAAGTTCCCAATTTTAAAAAATTTACCTTCTGATGGCAAAATTACTTATAAGATAACAAGATAAGCAATATAATTGGCGTAAACAAAAGTATTGTAGAAACACAAAGGAATAAGACTATTTAAGGAGGTGCCTGGGTGGCTCAGTCCGTTAAGCCTCTGACTCTTGATTTCGGCTCAGATCATGATCTCAGGGTCATGACATCGAGCCCTGCATTGGGCTCCACACTGGGTGTGGAGCCTGTTTAAGATTTTCTCCCTCTCACTCTTCCTCTCTGCCTACCCCCCACTCACACTTGATCGCTCTCTCTCTTAAAAAAAAAAAAATACTAAGTTTTTTAATGTAAAATATCAAACAGAAGTGAAAGTAAGAGACTAACTAACTCCCATACACCCACCACTCTGCTTTGATCATAACCCTTTGCCAATTTTGTTTCTCTTCTAAATCCACTCATTAACTTTAAGACATCATGTTATTTCATCCACAAATATTTCAGCACATATTTCTAACAGATAGGGACTCTTTCTTTAAACACAGTATGAATCTGAATTGTGAAAACAAAGTTTTTAAGATGTGAGGTATAATTAACATATGATAAAATGCACAGATCTTAAGGTGTTCAGTTGAGTTCTAACACTTGTATAGTCCTGTGTAAAAACTACCCAGAACAAGATATAGAACGTTTCTATGGCCTGGAAAGTTCCCACATGCCTCCTTCTAGTCAATCTAGTCAACACTCAGATGACCACTTTCTGATCTGTTACCATAGATCACTTTTGCCTGTTCTTGGACTTTTATAAATGGAATCATAGAGTATGTATGAGTAACAGATTTCTAGTCCAAAAAAAAGGGGGGGGAACCATTTCTGGAGGAAAGAACTACATGTATAACATATAAAGGTGTATTCGCGGAATGCTGAGAAGTTCAAGAGGGATGAAAACCAGGACTGGTAGTAGACAAGGCTAGAAGAGGAGGCTCATCAGAGAGCCAGGGTTTCTGGATTAAACTCCATAGTTAGTTCTGGGAATGAAGTTATGAAATAAACTTTTCCCGATGCAAAACATTTCTCTGACCTTAAAAGTTGGTCAGTTCTGTCAATATGCTCCTTTCTCCTCAACCCTCCAGCTAAGGGTGACCAAGACCGGAGAAGCATGCTCTAACCCATCCCTCTTCATTCTCATCTTGTGATGAGGCTCCTTTGCCATCTCAGGGAAGGAACAAGCCTCCCCAAACCCCCCAAAGCCTTTCTTATGAGAGGGCACATTTTAAACAAGCAATCCCAAGTCTGAGGGGCAGCCTTACCATTATCTGGATTTCTCTCTTGCACACCTGGAGATCATGCTCATTGTTGACAAACATGCGTTTCAAGGCACATTTCATTCCATTGCTTGTCCTCACCAGAAACACGATAGCAAATCCACCTGTGAGGGAAACACACATACAAGCTCTTTTGAGTCGTGTTCAAAAAGTTAGTTGGATAACCACAGTGGCTGCAGCTCTGTGCTGTCACTATTAATGCTACTGATGCCATCATCAGCTAGACCTAAGGGTTGGCCTGGCCCAGAAGGCACTCTTGGAGTCAAGGGACTCAGACATTACTATGGGATTGGGTGGCAAGAGTCAGAAAATTGTTCCTGAACACCTATGTCAGGAAGAAAGAAGAATAGTAACTATCTTGTAAAGAACCTACAAATAAACAGATGAACAAACAGATGAAGAAAAAAGAACTACATTCCAACCACTGTCCTAGGCACTTTGAGCTCTTATTTAATGCTTACTATAATCCTGTGAGGCTGGGTATTATTTTTCCCTTAAAGACGATTACTAGCTAAAGAAAACAGAGGCTCCAAGAGATTAGATTCAACCAAGGACTTAAAAAAAAAATTAAATCCAGCACTTAACCAGAGAGGCTTGGAAATTATTTTAATAATTGTTATAATAATAGTTGTCAAATTCAAGAAGCTTTCTCTTCCTTCTCAACCCTCCTCACCGCCCCCCGCCCCAACTGGGATCTAACAATTGACCTTGAGGGGGCGCCTGGGTAGCTCAGTCGATAACCATCTGCTCTGGTCATGATCCCAAAATTCTGGGAAGGAGCCGCATCAGGTTCCCTGCTCAGCGGGGAGCCAGCCTCTCCCTCTCCCGCTCCCCCTACTTGTGTTTCCTCTCTCTATCAAATAAATGAATAAAAAAAAAATGACCTTGAGGATTCCTCCTGCCATTCCTACCTCATGGGCTACTGAAAAGACACAAAATATAGGTATGAAAGTGCTCCTCAACACAGCAGACACCAGCAAAGTATAACTCAATTACTGGGCAGATGTTTTAATGTCCACATCAACCTTTCCCTTAAAGACCAAAATTCTTTAAAAAGAATTTTATATAACTCTAACAGAAATTCTTAAATGCTCTGGATTGGTTACACCTTAGCATTCCACAGATTCTTATAACTCCTTCCTTCCATCTCATTCCCCAAACATTGCAGGAGGTGTTCAGTGCCACTGTTAACAGGGGTTATAAATAGATAAGGTGCAGCAAAGCTGTCAAAGCTGAAGGCTTTGGGATAAGCAGCAATTAGACTGGGCACTTAGTCCATCTGCCTGCTTGTACACCATCATAATTTAGCTTGAACTATCCTGCACATTGACCCTGGGTAGCAAGGGAAAAAAAAGGTAGTGAGGCTATTCTCTGCACACAGGTAATCACTAATTGGATGGAGAGGGACACAGAGTGAAGTAACCAGTGTGGGAAGTTGAGCGGAGGTCCTGGTATAGCGCTGGGGCTAGCTGCCACATGCAAAACTGATAGAGGGCAAAAGCAGTGACTCTCTAGATCCTGAAGCAGAAGTCTTGAGTCCTGTTGAAACTCTCTACATCCTCTGAGGCCCAGTGGCACTTGAGCACCTGTCTGTCGATGTCTGTGGCCATTTCCTGGTGTACCCTCACAGTGTGTATTCTTTTTCAAGTCTGCTTGTATAGGTTTCTGCAGCTGGTAATCAAAAAGAGTTTCAAACATAAAGCACTCTTGCATGTTTTCATACAACACACACATAATTCTGTGTTTACAAAAATGTTAATGGGCTCAAATGTTCCAAGTGTGCATTCTGATAATGTTTACCAGAGATGGCATGTTTGTAGATTTCCTATCACAACGTCCTTCTTCAGGAGTCAGATGAGCACTAAGATTTGCCATAAAGTCTTTAATTTCCACGGTCATCTTGAATCTTTGTATCTCAGTAACATTTTCTATTTTCTTGTAATACTTTACAGTCCACTTACACTGCTCAATTGTCAATTTTAATTCTAGAAATTTACTTTAAAAATTTGTTTAAAACCCTACCATGTATTGACAAGTAGAGGTGTTATGACACACACACACACAATCTCAATTTTAAGATGCATATTTTTTACATTTGAATTTTTAGGATATCAGAATTTTTCTTATAATAAATATGCACAGGGGCGCCCGGGTGGCTCAGTTGTTGGGCGTCTGCCTTCGGCTCGGGTCGTGATCCCAGGGTCCTGGGATCAAGCCCCGCATCAGGCTCCCTGATCCACGGGAGGCCTGCCTCTCCCTCTCCCACTCCCCATGCTGTGTTCCCTCTCTCGCTGTGTCTCTCTCTGTCAAATAAATGAAATCTTTAAAAAAAAAAATATGTACATTGAAAGCAGTAGTACTTAATCTTCTTTTCCCCAAAAAGCTATTAAATTCATGTGTCTTATTTTCAATCAGAATGAGAAATGCTAATATAAATTATAAAATAATTATTTTGTAACAGTCCGAGTATTCATTTTATAGGTATTCACATTTTTAAAAAAGATTTTTTTTATTTATTTATTTGAGAGAGAGAGAGAAAGAGAGCACAAGCAGGGCAGAGGGAGAGGGAGAAGCAGGCTCCCCGCCAAGCAGGGAGCTCAATGCGGGGCTCTATCCCAGGACCCTAAGATCATGACCTGAGCCGAAGGCAGATGCTTAACCGTTAACTGAGCCACCCAGGTGCCCCAGGTATTTGAATTTTTTATTTTTATTTTATTTATTTATTTATTTATTTATTTTTAAAGATTTTTATTTGAGAGAGAACACAAGCAGAGGAAGCAGCAGGCAGAGGGAGAGGGAGAAGCAGGCTCCCCACTGAGCAGGGAGCCCAATGCGGGGCTCGATCCCAGCACCCCGGGATCATGACCCAAGCCAAAGGCAGCCACTTAACCGACTGAGCCACCCAGGCACCCCTGAATTTTTTTTTTTTAAATCACAGAACTACAAACTTTGTATCAGCAATGCTCCTAAGAAGCATTAAAGAGGGAGGCTTAGGAATCCCATGGCTAATTATGCAGAACCTGTCACTCTGCTGACTGTCCAAACGATGTTCTTTCCACTTTACCCATCTTAGAGAAAGCCTGCATAACAGGCCCTTTAGATACTAAGGAGACATCCAACAGTGCTGTAGAACATGAGCCCGGAAGGGCCATTTCTACAGTTCTGTGATGCATGGAACCACTGAAGGACAGGGCAGTTCTTGCAGAAGCAGGCTGACGATGCAGCAATCTGAGAGAACTGCCACCAGATGGAAGCAGTGTAGTCTCTCTGGCCAGTGTAGCAAGATGACCTTTCCAGCCGAAACTGAAGAAATGTGGCGAGTGCCTACGTCACGATCCAGGCAAGCACAAAGGGTTGAGAAGAGCCAGCCAAGATTCTCAAAGCCTATGACTATCACAGATCTAAAGGTAAAGCAACGAACCCGTATGCCTAACACAGAGGGAACCACATGATTTAGCTTCTATGCCCACAAAGGGGCTTATTTGTAGGTGAGAAGCATGTTAAGGCAGAGTTCCTTGATCGTGAGATCAAATCCAAAGGCTGCTAGGATGTGTCAGTTTAAAGGTGTTGGTCACTATCAATGTGCAGTTGGCCGACTAGAGATGTAAGTTACTCAGTTAGGAAGAAGAGGGGAGACAGCACCACTTGAGGTACTGCTCTAGCACAGGCCCGGGGCCACCGTATAGATCGGGGTACGAAGATTCTTGGCCACAGCTAAACAGAGCTCAGGCTGTTACACAAGAAGGCAACTATAAGACTGTCAGAAGAGATGCTTATTTCAGATTAAGGTGCATCCCAAGACCTTGATTAAATGGAAAAACCTAACGCTGAGCTGGGGACAGTTTGGACAGAGGTAAGAAAAGCTAACATGCAGCAGAGCCTGTGCCAGTCTGCCCACTAGAATATGTGCCAGTCGCTTGGCCTACTTGCATTCTTTTTTGAAACACTAAGATATTCTCTATGATTTCACTGGAATCCATTTTGGGGGGAAATTCATGAATTTATTGAATCACAAAGGGAAAAAGGATTCATTCCATGATGTGAGGTGAGCAAGTGAAATAGCCGTGATAATTTTGACACAGACACATTTTAGCCCCTTAAATATGTTGGAATATTCTTTTATTTCCACAAAGAAACATGCTTTCTCCCACTTTCCCTAAAATATATAGCACTTTTTAAAAAATTTTTTTAAAGATTTTATTTATTTGAGAGGCTGAGAGAGAGAGAGAGAGAGAGTGCTCAAACCTGAGCAGGGGGAGGGAGAAGCAGACTCCCCGCTGAGCAGGGCGCCCGACGCAGGGCTCCATCTCAGGACCCTGGGATCATGACCTGAGCTGAAGGCAGACACTTAACCAACTGAGCCACCCAGGCGTTCCAAATATATAGCACTCTTGGGTATATCTCTATTTTTTTTTTATTTTGGCTTTTTAAAACATTTTTAAAAAATTCAATTTAACATATATTATTAGTTTCAGGTGGAATTTAATGATTCATCACTTACATATAATACCCAGTACTCAGCACAAGTGCCCTCCTTAATGCCCTTCACCCTCTTACCCCATCCCCCACCCATCTCCCCTCCAGCAATCCTCCGTTTGTTCCCTATAGTTAAGAGTTTCTTATGGTTTGCCTCCCTGTTTTCATCTTATTTTATTTGTCCTTCCCTTCCCCTATGTTCATCTATTTCTTAAATTACACACATGAGTAAAATATGGTATTTCTCTTTCTCTGATTTCTTTTGCTTAGCATAATACCCTCTAGTTCCATCCACATCATTGCAAATGGCAAGATTTCATTCTTTTTGATGGCTAATAGTCCAGTGTGTGTGTGTGTGTGTGTGTGTGTGTGTGTGTGTGTGTGTGTGTGTACACACACCACTTCTTTTTTATCCATTCATCTGTCAACGGACATTTGGGCTCTTTCCATAGTTTGGCTATTGTGGACATTGCTGCTATAAACATTAGAGTGCATGTTCTCCTTCGCATCACACTATGTTTGTATCCTTTGGATAAATACCTAGTAATGCAACTGCTGGGTCATAGGGTAGCTCCCCCTCATTTTTAATGATGTGGATGGGTACTTATCACTCACTATGAGATTAGAG